GTGTCCCAAACAAAGTGTCACAAAGAGCTCGGCCCGCGGCAGCCGCGGAGGCGGCTGTAACTCCGCTTTTGTTCTCCTGGCCCGGGGTAGCTGAGCTCTGGCCTCCCTATCTCCCAACCCTGCCCCCATCCTCCTCCTGGATTATTTTCCGCGGGTGGAGTGTGGGGTGTGCTGGTGGAGTCCCTCGTGGGAGATCGCAGGTCCTGCTCCGCTTGCCTCCTCGGTTTTTGAGAGGGGTATTTCCCCAGGGTGTCTCCTACGCCCACCTCCCAGCCTGGGAACTGAGGCTCGTACAAGGCACAAATACTGACTTTTTATGGGCCAGCTCTAGTTAAAGGGACTTAAGGCTGTATACATGCACCCCCCGCCCCCCACTCCAGGCGCCTTCAGAACTTTCAGAATCGGGGTCAAGTTAGGACATGCTAGAACATGGGTCTAGGATAAGATTGTGTGTGTGTGTGGGTTTTACCTCCCTCTCACCTCTCGATAGTTATTTGGGAGCCCATGACTGAAATTTCATGCCCCCCTATCCCTTTTCCAAGAACTCACTCCGAAAAGGTGTCGAGGTTCAGTGTAGTGTGGGGTTGTAGCCGCTCTCAGCAGTGAGGGTCAGGGAGCCGGGGAGACTCTGAAAGTGAGTAGTTGCCATGTGTGTGTTCTCCAGGTGGTCTTGACTCTGGACACTCTAATAAGCCCCTTTTCCATTTAATCTCATCTGTCGAAGTGGTTCATATTCATTAGCTCATTTAGGAGAGGGGAGATTGCCAAAAAGGAAAGAAAAAAAAAAAAAATCATGTGTTGGGGATGACCAGAGACAGAGGCCTACTTACAGCTAGGCCCCAGGGACCCTGGTCCTTTGCTACTGAACACTTGACCTTAAAATATTTCGAATCACAAGATTTGGGGTGGGGGCGGGGGAATCTTCTTGGTCCTTGTTCTGTAAGTCTTCACCATCCGTGTCTCCCCCCCCCCCATAAGGTTTGGTGGTCCATACCCCCTTTGCCTCAGCCCTCCTAGCATGTAAAAGTAATTGGCCTGTTGCTTTGGAAATATTTCTAATTTGTAACGCCGGTCCTGCATCTCTGCAAAAATACAAACAGGAGCAAGATAACCCCTGACTCCCTCTCGGTGTGGAAAGTAGGTCAGTGCTACTCTCTGGCCAAGGCTCAGGGGTGGTGTTTAAGCCTTGAGTATAGAAAAATGTGAGGATTGTCCACAGACAATGCATGTCTGACTTAGGTTCCAAACCGGGTCACAGACTCTGTCTCTGTTGGTGCTCTTCCCTATTGAGAACAATTTATGAGATCTGGTGCCTGAGACCTGGTTTGATGGAGAGATACGGAAGCCATCTTGACTGGGCCTAGGAGGTCTCGGTGGATTTTACTGATTTTTAGGCCACCTTCTGGGAAACTGCCCCTGAGGAGAAATTCAGCTTCTATTTGTGCCTTCTTATGTGTCGCTGCTTTCTGGAAACTGCTACGTGCAAAAGTGTGGGTTTTGTTGTTGTTCAGGGGAGGAAGCCTTGCCCTGTTTCTGTTCTTTTTGCCTCAGAATTAGGCCATTTTCCTAAGAGGCATTTTGCTTGGTGTTTTACAGGCAGTTTTAGAGGCCCTAGAATCTTCTCAGGATCAGAATATGTGCCCATAGGTTAGTCAGCTATGACCATGCAGTATTCACACACACACACACACACACACATACACACCCCTCCCAGCCATCTGCTTCCTCTGAATATACCAGATTGGCTGTACACCAGGATGTTCCGGGAATCCCCAGGAAAGCAACAGAATGTGATGGACTCAAATACGATGCCTCAGTAACTCATTCCAGGATGTACAAACTGTAACTGTTATGACATTCTGTATAGCTAATTAAAATTTTTCTAGGTGTGTGTATTTTCCATTCTATTCTCAATGACATCCAAAAGGCCAAAGTAATTCATCTGATACCTACCCCTCCATAGCTTCTCTGATACTCCTCCATAGTTCATATAGGACTCCCCCCCCCATTCACTAGTTTCTGTGTCCTCTCTATGGTGCTAAAATGGCCAATGTGGCCTCTCTAGCACTTCC